TACGGATGCAGTTTCGGATGAAAGTCTTGATGATGGTTTGGAGGTTCGGTGGTGTAGGAGTCGCGATCACCTTCTTCCGGGCTTGAAGAGTGATGAACTCCAAAGATGTTCTGACTCGATGGTGATTGGTGGAAAGTGAAAAAGAGCTAAGAGAGACATCAGCTGAAATCCTAGGATCTTTGGTGAATGGAAAGTAAAGGCCCGAGGCCTGGCGCAGACTTAGGGTGTCCTTAGAGGGGTGCTAGCTCACATCCTCATCTTCTCAGAATCTAACAGAACCGCAGGCTGACTGGCTATGTGTTGGAGCCCGCCGGGCACGCCCGCACCGGCTCAGGCTCCAACACGCTTCTTAGCAGTAGCAAAGGTGTCATGGTTGCCATGGTAACCAGGGTCCTGGGCCTCCTTCACAGACATCTTGGCACCCAGTATGTTTGGGTGAGGGGGTCTGTGAATGTTTTTTGAAGCAACTCTTTGAGACCTTGGGACCCAATCTTCTGGCTATTGTCAACAAATCACTTAGTTTGGGAACCATACTAGCTGATCTCAAACATATAAACAAACTAATTATAGGCCTATCTCTAATTTGCCTTTTCTTTCCAAGATTCTCTAAAAAGTCGATCAACTTCAATTAAACTTCAATCCATCTATGAAACATTTCAGTCAGGATTCAGAACTTTTCATAGTAGCTACTGAGTCGGCTTTATTAAAGGTGTTAAATTATATCTATATGGTAACTGACCAGGGTGATAGTATTGTATTGGTGCTGTTAGATCTTACTGCTGCATTTGATATGATAGATCATAATATTCTCATTGCCCGACTCGAGTCCTATGTGGGCTTGACGGGTACCGTTTTTAGTTGGTTTAGTTCCTATTTAAAGGACCGGAGGCTCTCAGTTCGACTAGACACCCACATGTCACCAGCTGCTAACCTCCCATAGGGGATCCACAGGGATCAATACTTGCACCAACGCTTTTCTCTCTGTACATGCTCCCTTTGGGCTCTATCTTCAGGAAGCATGGTGTCTCGTTTTACTGTTACGCTGATGATACCCAGATTTATTTGCCACTTAAACGCTCTGATAGTAACACCTTTGACACTTTGTTGGCTTGAATGAAGGATATCAAAATCTGGATGTCATCAAATTTTCTCAACCTTAATGAAAAGAAAACTGAAATTATACTTTTTGGTCCCCCTAGTGGCATTCCCTTAAAATATCTGAGTAATCACTTTGTTTCATCCCAAGCCAAAACCCTTGTTAAAAACTTAGGTGTAGTAATTTCAGACCCAGAAGCATCACACTCTCATGGCAATCAATTTTTCATTTTGGTGAATTGGTGGCTATAATTCATATGACTTTGTAGGATTTCTTTTGTCCAATATTCATACAATTTTCATACAACATGCTTACGTTCCACTGATGGTCCTTCACGCGCATGCTACACTCTAAGAAAAGTCTGTAAAAACAGGGCAAAATCTATTAATATGAAGGAATTTTCCGTAATTATTATTCACACGTTTTT